AGTGGGCCTAAGCCAGCAGGCGGACATCCCCCTGAGTTGTCCAGACTGTGAGAGGGTGCAGGCCAGGCTGAGGGCCCCCACCCCAACCCAGTGCACAGATTTCATGCACCGGGCCTCTAGTGGTATTATAAATGGATAAGTTTTTAGGCCAACCTCTAAAGACCTGTTTAATCTATCAAGTAGCTGAACTACTATATTTGTGATGAAAAATATTAGGAATTTCCCAATTCAGATGCACATTAGTTCTACTACATGTTGTCTAAATAGGATTTGGGATCCCTAAACACCTTTTGTATGATGAGAGGGTAAATAGTGGTGCCATGAAGATATTCCCATCAAGGCTGTGGAGAGAAAGCCATTGGGAATGTGTGTGGCTCCATCTCTTTCAGGGCAGTGACCAGCTATTGGCATGGAGATAGTCTTCAGTTAAGTGTTTGTCTATCAGGAGTATCTATATGTTCTTACTAGTTACAAAATAATCTTGAGAGAGTGAGTGAAAAGTTTATATATTTTGAAATTTCTGAAACAGATATTAATGTTGGAAAATGTTTTTTTGATGCATTTACAGATAATAGTCACATATTTAGTGATCATTTTTGTATTTGTTTTTCTCCCCTTTATATACTATATTTTTAATCATTGTGTATTTGGTTTTATTCTTAAAATTATTGATTCTTTTTAGTTTTCAATTAAAGGAATTTAATTCACTTAACTTAAACATACTGTAATATTAATAGTTAAAATAGATTTAACTATAGAATTGTCCTATTTTTAATTCTTTACTAGGCATAATATGTTTTTATTTCAAGAGGTTTTCATGCCATAACTGGTTTGGCTCAGTGGACAGAGTGTCAACTTGCAGACTGAAGGGTCCTGGGTTCGATTTTGGTCAAGGGCACATTCCTGGTTGCGGGCTCAATTTCCGTAGGGGGTGTGCAGGAGTCAGCAGATCAATGATTCTTTAATCATTGATGTTTCTATCTCTCTCTCCCTCTCCCGTCCTCTCTGAAATCAATAAAAACATATGTTAAAAAAAAGAGGATTTCATTATGTTGGAGCTGATTTTTGACCACTTTTAGATTTTATTCTTATGAGTATAGTATGATTTTTGACAAAGTGATGTTTTGGAAAGTTATTTATAGAATATAGAAGAGCAAGTGTTTTGGATTCGAGGAAGTATGGTTCCACTTCTATTCAATTCTGGGTACATTTTTCAGCTCTTGCAGCTTGTTTCCTTATCTATAAAAGGAGGCTAATGAAACCTGCTTGCCTCACAGGGTTGCTAAAGGTATTACATAAGATTGATTGACAGTGTATGCCAGCTTATACTACTATAGGGATGGGCTGTCAGAGGATCAGTTAGGGGAAGTTTTCATGCCATTGTGTTTCTCTTCTCTGAACTCTCTTTTACTTTTTGACACCTAATTTCTCAAAAGAATAATCTATACTGATTAGCTTCACTTTTAATCTCTCCCTTTGTAAAAAGCCAAAAACATAAGAACAGCAGTATTAATATTTGTAATGTTAATTGCTTTAGTTTTCTATTTGCTTTGTTTGCTTTCGTGTCTATCAGTTCTTTCCTGTACACTCCGATAGGACTGTAAAATTCCTCTCACTGTGGTAAACACTTCAGGTTATCCATCAAATTCATTTTTAAAACCTTTTTCTTTTTCTTGAGGTATTCCTCTGGGAGCCTTTTGTCTTCCTGTTCTAATCTGGACTGGTTGCTCTCTAGGCCTGGTGCAAAACTTATATCCTGTCTGTTCCTTTCCTCATCACCTTGGGAATTTCCTTTCCTTCTCTAATGTTTGGAATCATGTTTCCTGGTTCCTGTGTTTTCTTCTTTCTTGATTTATTCCCTTGTTTTGGCATAGCACTTCCTCTTCCACCCTACCTCCTACCCCGACTCCTCTCCAGCCTCCAGCACCAAATCTGTTTAAGGTGACTCTCTTTGTAACACCTGTAAAGCTTTTACTCCTTTCAATTCTCCTGTTGGATTGACCTCACCCTCCTTTGTGCCTCCACAGAACCCTCTGTCATAGCCTTGTCCATCATACGTATGGAGCACTCCACATGCCAAGCACTGTGTTCAACACTGGGGAGTCCAAGGTTGAGAAAATGAGGTTCTTGTTCCCAAGCAAGTTCTGATAGATAATGAACAGCTTGATTCTCACTGGAGGCAGTACTGCCCCCTAGTGGTCCTTTTGGAAAAGTGGGGGTTCAGAGAGTCGGGCCTGTGGACTGAAGGGTCCCGGGTTGGATTCTGGTCAAGGGTACCTGCCTGGGTGGTGGGCTCGATCCCCAGTAGGGGGCGTGCAAGAGGCAGCCAATCAGTGATTCTCTCTCATCATTGATGTTGCTATCTCTCTTTCCTCTCTGAAATCAATCAAAATATATTTTGAAAAAGTGGGGGTTGGAAAGTGTTTGGTTAACCACAGTAATAGGGGGGTACAGCTGGCATTTTGTAGTCAGGAAATAAGAATACTGAATGTCTTATATGTCCAGCACAACTTTAGAATATTCCACCAGACATTTATGTGTGAACATATGTTTATAATTATCTAAGCCTGGGGCCTGACTCCTTTTTACACACAAACCCAAACTACTCTTGGTACTTTTTACATTGTCATTGCTTGTGCAGCAGATGGAGAACAGTTGTTGTTGTCCCATCAGTGTGGGTTTATAGACAATTAAAAAGTAGCACGTGTTTTTAAAAAATTAAGGATACCTTGGATGATAGATTCTTTTGTAAACCATGCAATAACAATGAAGAAGAATATGATTGTCTTGCCCAATACATAAAAGTAGGACAATTTTCTAGAGTAAATATTTAAAAAGATTTTGTTCGTTATTATGTATATGCGTGTGAATACTGTATTAGGGTGTACATACAGTGCACAGCTTGATGACTTTATATCCACACCTACACATAAACACATGTAACTACCTTGCTCAAGAATGCGGAGTGTCTGCATAGTTGGGAAACAGGATAAACTTATTTTTAAACAGTGTGGTAGATATATTTTCAAGTAATATGCCCATTGCATCTTCATGTGTACAATAAATACAATTATTAGAATATAGGGGACTATAGGCTTGGGTAGGAAAAAAATTACATTGCTATTTTTACTAACCTCAAACTGAAATTTAGCATTTCCTTTCCATTTAGAATGCAGGAAATGGTGGTGATACTAGCCATACCTGTAACTTTTTTTGCTACTAGAAGCCACAGATATTTTCAATTTCAGTTGTTGGAGATACTTCACAATATTGTTTATACTCATTATTTTCATATTACAGTAATTATTAGACCTGCCACTTGATGATGTTATTTAAATCATTAGTAAAGGGACACATGTTACATATACAACTTTTTTTAAAAATATATTTTATTGATTTTTTTACAGAGAGGAAGGGAGAGGGATAGAGAGTCAGAAACATCGATGAGAGAGAAACACCGATCAGCTGCCTCCTGCACACTCTCCACTGGGGATGCGCCCGCAACCAAGGTACATGCCCCTTGAGTTGAACCCGGGACCCTTGAGTCCGCAGGCCGACGCTCTATCCACTGAGCCAAACCGATCAGGGCAGAACTTTTAAATAATCATATTTTTAAATTTTATTTTAAAACATTCTGAAATTCTAGAGTAAGCAAAACTAATGTATAATGATAGAAATCACATGAATGGTTGCTTCCTATAGAGAAGGTTGACTGGGGAAAGGGAACAAAAGAATTTTCTGGAGTGATGGAAATGTCCATCCTGGTATATATTTGTGAAAGGTGATTGAATGCTAAACTTAAGATATATATTTCACCGTATGTAAATTATATATCAATTTTAAAAACCAGTACATTAAAAACGTATTCTGAGAAGGGGTCTATGGGCTTCATTGGATTTCAAAAGAAATTTCTGGTAACAAAAATGGTTGAGAACCCTTTCTTGAGCCCATCATGTCACCTTTGAGTGACTGCTCTTTCGGGGCCTGCTTTCAACTTTGAGTGCCTTCTTTCTCTCATTTGCTTTTACTATTCATTTCCTTTTTTTCTAGAAGTGTTCTCACTTTTTTGAGCTAAGGAAAGTCAGAAAAGGAAAATAGCAGCTATAAAAGAAATTATTTTCTTGACTTATTTGCCAGTCTCTTGAAGCTGATAAAGTTATAGTCCTTCTAACATAGTTATGGACTTGTTTGCCTAGACTTTATGAAATTTCTGCCCTGGCTGATGTGGCTCAGTTGGTTAGAGTGTCCTCCTGTGCACCAAAGGGTCTCAGGTTTGATTCCCGGTCAGGACACTGGAAATAAAAAGGAAATTTCTAGTGACTAAAAACTAATTTGTAGACAATTTCATAATAGAATGATTTTTCACATTTCTGGTTTCTCTTGGAGTTTTAGGTTTTATCCCTGAATATGCAGGTCTGTTATGAAGTAGCCGTGAACACTTATAACAGAGGTTAAAAGAAAAGAAAATATATTTGGAATTAGAAAAGCATCAAAGAAGTAAGAAAAGAAAAATTAATATACTACCCGCAATCTATTCCAGAAGTTCCATTTAGGTATCTTTGATGCAGTGTGAATACAAATTCTAAAGTCCAAATATGTTTTATTTTTGTAAAATTCAGAATAGTATAAATATCAAATATTAGCCCGTGTTTATTTTAAATGTGATGATAGGGCTTGAAGATGTTAAACATAATGGTAAATAATATAGGAACAAACATGCTTTCATCTGGAGTCACAGTGTTAAGACTACTCATAATACAACTCTTGTTGTCTATCATATGTGTATAACTTTCTTTTACTCTACTGTTCTTATGTTTTTAGTCTTATGTATCTAGATAAATTTAAAAGGATACTTGTTTTAATAGATTATAAACTATCCTAAGAAAGCTTGAACTAAGGTGAATAGCCCTGACAGATGTTTATCTAGGTAGCATCTGCATGTCTTTTATGATGTTATTAGATTTAAAAATATAAAATACTGTTTGACGGTTTCTTTGCAGCCTCTCGTGTGGAAAATTTGAGATGCAGAGGAGAAACAGTAGCTAAGGAGATCAGTGAAGCCATGAAGGTAAAAACTATATGCTAAAAAATTATAAAATGAACAAAATCTGTAGCTAGGTATTTGCTTTTAGCAGCCATATGTGTTTTAGTCTATTGTAATAGGAATTCTTAGTAGTTTTTAAAATAGGTCATTAATGACTTAATTAAGCAACAGTGACATTCAGAATAACTACCATTTATTAGATACCTACTGTGTGCCAGTATTATACCTGGCTTCTTTAAAGGTTGGTTATATTTTTGAGTTCTGAGAGTTAGCAGTCCAACAAATGATTTTGGATAATAATACCAGCTAACATTTAGTGAGCATTTAGCATGGATCAGGTACCATTTAACTGCTTTACATATATTATATTACCTCATTATCCTTCCAATAACCCTATGAGATAGGTACTGCTATTTCCCTATTTTATAGCTGAAGAAACTAAGGCACAGAGAGGCTAACTAGATTGTCCAAATAAGTAACTCAGCCAGGATTTAAACTCTGGTTATTTGTCTCCAGAGCTTATATTGTTAACCACTATAGTATATAGCATATCAAATTGGAGTCTTAAAATCTTCTATACTAATAAAAGGGTAATATGCTAATTAGACTGGACATCTTCCGGACATCCTTCTGGACAAAGCCACAAAGTGGCAGCGGCCGAGGTAGAGGCGGTTAGGGGCAATCAGGCCAGCAGCTGTGTATTTCTGTTTCAACCTGAGATTAATTTTGAGTATTATTGTTTGTTTACTTTTTTAAGTCCTTGCCTGCATTAATTGAACAAGGAGATGGATTTTCCCAAGTTTTGAAGATGCAGCCTGTTATCCAACTCCAGAGAATCCACCAAGAAGTCTTTTCCAGTTGTTATAGGGAGCCAGATGTTAAACCTGAGAGCTTTATAACACAAATAGAAACCACACCAACAGAGACTTCTACCAGCAAAACCACTAACGTGGTACTGAAAAGAAAGCAAACTAAAGACTGCCCCCAGAGAAAATGGTATCCATTGCGGCCAAAGAGAATTTATCTTGATACGTAAGCTATTTTTGTTTATCTCGGGAGTTGAAATTAGGCACTGTCAGCATTTAGATTAAAGTCTGATGCCTAGACAGAACTTCATTTAAAATAACAAGTAACTCTTTAGTGATTTCTTTATACAGATGTAATAACTGTCCTGGGGTATGATGTAATATTGTATTTCCTCAATGTTTCGTCTATAGTCGATGAAAAGCATAGTTTTAAATGTTGGCACAAAGCCCATCAATGAGTATAAACAGTACAATCTTTTACTGTCCTTAAATGCCATCAACTTTTGGCTGCTTTACAGCTTTTATGGAATTTTATGAGTAACATTCTGTTTCCTGGATATACTGCTTTCTTTAAAAAAGAGCTGTGTAACAGTTGTCTTCATTTAAGTGCTGAGAGGAATCACCAGTTCTGCACAGGAGGGTTTTTGTTTTTGTTTTTTTGGTGTTTTTTTGTTTTCAGTGTGATTTGTTTTATCAAATGAATGTGCAAATGAAAGACTAGCTTTGACTTTGTCACTCTAGTTCAGCTAATTTAGGTCTGTGAGTTTAATTGTAGGAAGTTTTGTTTTTATTTTGTGTTATAAGACAAGACAGCTACTATTTGTGGAAGAATTTCTCCCAATATTTCTTGCCCACACATTGTTTTTCATAGACCTTTTAATTTTTAAGCATAATTTGACTTGTGAATAATATTTTTTAAGGATTTCTCATTATTTCTTTGTATATGACTCCAGTTCAAAAATATACATCAGAGTAATACATTAAGAAATTGTCATGTGGAATAAATATAGATGTAATCTGAACTATTTCATATTTAAGGATGTTTATATATCAAGGATATAATCATTGGTAGAAGTCTGAGAAAGCTATATTGCCCCTACTTCGAATATTTAACTACAGTTCCTTATAGCTCCTGCTGTGTCTTTTACTCACATTAACACAATGTAGGCAGGGCTATCTAACTTGCCAACTGTTTCCCCTTTTGATGATTGTACCTTCATTCGTTTGCAAAGGAATTTATTAATCATGAGGTTGGAAATCTCTACTTCTTGTGTTTATTATGTGTTAATAATCATAAATGTCAAAATGTGACAGAAAGTCTGTCTCAATTAGGAAAACTTTCATAGCCACTTTATGGTATTCTGTATTTTAATGTTACAATTTGAGATCTGTATATTTGTATAAAGCAGTTTTTTTTTATTAAAATAATGTGCAATGACTAAAATCTTTATACTGTGATTTTTGTTTGTTTTAAAAAATATATTTTATTGATTTTTTACAGAGAGGAAGGGAGAGGGACAGAGAGCTAGAAACATCGATGAGAAACATCGATCAGCTGCCTCCTGCACACCCCCTGCTGGGGATGTGCCCGCAACCAAGGTATATGCCCTTGACTGGAATCGAACCTGGGACCCTTCAGTCCGCAGGCCTACGCTCTATCCACTGAGCCAAACCAGTTAGGGCATGTGTTTTTTTTTAAGAGTTGTCTTAGGCACTTTTGAACCCAGCTTTAGTTGAATGGTAGCTCAGTACCTTGCATTTCAGAACATACTAAATTTCATTTTTAAATTGTTTGAGTCTACAGAATATTGCTATTCTAAGGCAGTGTTTTTTATAGTATATAATTCTGTATGAATTATTTTACTCCAAAAGCCTGCAAACAAAAGAATTATTAATTCTCCTAGATTAGATAATTGCATTATGATTATAAAAGAAAATTTCTCTTTTAAAAATGATACATATTGAGATGTATATTGTTTAATGAACTTGATGTCTTGGACTTGCTCTGAAATATGTCAGCAAAAGGAAAAGGAATAGCTTAAGCAAATGTGGTAAAAATCTTGATAACATTGTATCTGTGTGATAGATATATTCTTGTATCTGGAAATTTTTATAATTAAAAATATTTTCTATTTTATTTTAATTTTTTTGTTAATTCTCACCTGAAGATATTTTTTCCATTTTTTTTTTTTTTTTTTTTTTTTTTTTTTAGAGAGAGTGGAAGGGAGCAGGGGGGGAAGGGAGAGAGAAAGAGAAAGAAGAGAAATATCAATGTGAGAGAGACACATCGATTAGTTACTTCCCACACGTGCCCTGACGAGGGCTAAGATCAAACCTACAACCCAGGTGTGTGCTCTTGGCTGAGAATCGAACCCGAGAACCTTCGGTGCACAGCCTGATGCTCTAACAACTTAGAAACACCAGCGAGGGCAAGTTTGTTCTATTTTAAAACCCCCAGACTGACAGCTGAAACTTGAAGTCCCTCAGCAAGTCCAAAGTTTCACGCCATAGTTAGAGCAGTCTGTATTCAGGTGTCCAAAGAAATGAATTTAAAAAAAAAAAAAATCAGGCATTTATTCATTACAGTAAAAGCAGAAAGCTGTACAAGAAAAATGTAATCATAGTTACAGATTGACTCCACAGTGAACAATATTTGTATAAACATAATAATGAACATCCCAAATATGAATTCAGTAGGAAATTGGGACAGTCATATTGGGAAGGTCAGAGGATTGGGGATTGATGAATACAGCACAGGCACTGGACAGTCAGAACAGGTAGTGGTCCAAGCACTGTGGTGGAGTTCTGGAGGCCCCCTTAGCTGCTGGGTCCTGGGGAAGGCCAGGGTGTGCCAGCACAGGAACTAGAGCAGGCAGGTCGGCCTGGAGAGGGCACTGAGGAAGCTTCTGCCCCGACTAGCCCAGAAGTTAATTTTGCTCTGGTAATGTGTGACCGCCTGAATATCAGCAATGAAATGGGAATGTTTGGGAATGAAACGTTTATCACAATGGGACATCAGTGCCTAATCTCTAAAATAGCTGAATCAAGAGATAGCACACTTTGGATATTACTCTGGTTAGGGGAAAAACAGCTAAGAGAGTGGAAAGTAGTTAACTTTGTGAAAGAACCTAGGGAAGGGAAGTAGGCAAAGGAACTGACTTTTTGTGGTTGACATAAGCCTTGTACATTTGATTCTTTTAATTATGTGCATAAAATACTTGCATAAAAATAAATTTGATTTTTTAATGATTTTAAAACACAAATGCAAGTGAATATAAGTTGTCTTTGACACTATCATTGAGAATTAAGACATAAATTATATGCCAGAGGCTGCCGCAGGGTATCAGTTCCATTATCTCAGTATATTTCAGATAAGACTTGTAGTCCCTGTTTTTAGCTGAGACATTTAGTTTGGGTTCTTTGGAGTGCTTTCCCTGCTCCCCCACTACCCCCCAGCTATTTGTTTTGCAAATAGATTCTATGATCAAGCCTCTGTGTACAAAAATGAAGAAAAAAAATATTTCTAAAGCAGCGGTCGCCAACTGGTGGTCCATGAGGTCCGAAAGGTTGGCAAACCACTGAAGGGTTTGTGGGGATTTTATATGAAAGGACTTGGGGAAATCAATATTTTATTTATTTGAAGCTTCAGGGTTGAAGAGTCCTCTTGTGTGCATTGCTGTATCTCTATGGTGCTTGTACCATGTTGGCCCTTTGCTAATATTAGTTGAATGAATGAATGATTTTATATTGCAAATTTCTAACTTATCACTTCCTCCAAGTCACAATCTCAGACATACATGACTTGTGGCATTCATATTCATGATTCATTTTTTAAATACATTTTTATTGATTTCAGAGAGGAAGGGGGAGGGAGAGAGAGATAGAAACATTAATGATGAGAGAGAATCATTGATCGGCTGCCTCCTGCACTCCTCGCACTGGGGACGAAGCCTGCAAACCAGACATGTGCCCTGACCGGGAATTGAACTGTGACCCTCCAGGTTCATAGGTTGACACTCAACCACTGAGCTACGCTGGCTGGGCTATATTCATTATTAATTCCGCTTAGAAGATGGGCTTACTTTTGTAGAGGATGGGGGTGGAGGCGGGGTTTAAAGGACTGAGGGCAAATCACTAGGAAAACTGTCTGAATTAGAATTCTCATTTTCTGGCTATTAGAGCTTGAAGCCTAGTCCCCAGATCCCTGCCTGATCAGAGAAGAGGGTGGCATTCACCGCCCTCAGAGTGACTTCGTGATGCTAGAGATACATCTGCCTCTGGCCCTCCTTCCTTTGGCTGCATTCCCTTGACTTCTGGGTGGCCTGGGGGACCCAGGGGAGACCTGGCTCCTCGGGGTCCCCTGCTGCAGCTCATGTCTATGCCTGTGAAGGGTCAGGCCACCTAGCATCACCTCAGCTCGCCCCATTCAGAGAATGGCTCCCATGCCCTTGGGCTCAAGTGGATTTCAGGGCCTTCCTTGCTGCCCACGTGTGTGGCTCTGTGGCCACTTCCTCCGCCATGATGGCACTGGAGCTCTCTGTCCATTTTTCATGTCACCTTGATGGAGCATGCCCCTCTTCACTAGTCCCTAGTATCTGAGACTTGAGCGTTTCATTCTCATTGTTCCTTCAAACTCTTCTGAGGTTTAGTTCTTCCACGAAGCAGCCAGTGGTGACCGCTTCAGGGTCCTAGCTGCCTGAGACACCCCAACAGCCCCTCAGCACCCCCCCCCCCACCTCTGCCCTTTGGAGCACCAGCTGGTGCAGTGGCTCTTTCCCAGATAAGAGCCCCCTCATGCCTTGGTCTCTACTTTCGAAGCTCCTTTTCTTTCAAGCCATTTTACAGTTGAGCATCACACTAGAAGACCAAGTAGGAAAGTAAGAGGGGACGCTGTGACCTACACATCTGGCTTTATTTCCTTCCCTATTAGAATTTTGTTTTTGATAGGGAAAAAGGTTCAAGTAAGTGTAGGTATGAATTTTCTCTGATCTCTATGTATGCCATATCTACCCAGCTCTGCTCCTGTGGGAGTGTAGAAATTAGGGGATGACTGAAGAAAAAAAAAAGGAGAAAAAGAAATTAGGGGATGGCAGTGACAGAATAATGACATGTGGCCAACTTGTAGGGCACCTCTGCTCCAGGTCGTCCCACGTATCTCAGCTTCAGAGCCTTGTGATCTTCCCAGTCACATTCCAAACAATATTTTAAAATCATTTTTTATAATCACACCTTTGGCTCTACAAATACTCAATGAATCGGAATAGTGTGCTAAGGTGTATGGATATTCTTGAACCAAAGCATAGACCCTGCCCACCAGCATCGGCCATTGGTCACAAGAGACATCAGTGGCAGCTGGGAATCCAGTGTGTGACAGTGAGAGGGGGCGGAGGGAAAGGCCCAAGACTGGAGAGGGAGGGGTAGGGGGAATCCATACTGTTGCTGAGGTTCCAGGCACCCAAAGGGAAGATGAGAGTGAAACTCACGGGTTTTCAGACTTCTGTGGAATTAGCTGTTTGCAAGAAATTGTTTTGCCTGGTTTCGGAAACTAATGGAACACTAAGAAATTCCTGTAATTTACTGGCAAATCTTAATACTTACTTGCATTTTCTCTTTGGTATAAGCCCCGACCCAATTCTTCTTTTAAAGGAGATTTTCAGATTTGACAGATGAGAAATACTCCTAACTAAAATGAATCCTCATTTGTCTCACACTCACAGGGGACAAAAGTTCAAAAACATAAATAAGTGTTGCACTCTGTCTGCCTGGGTGATGGACTCTGTGACCCCACCCCTAACCCCCAGCACTCCCAGACTTGCTCCCCCCCCCCCCCCGAAACAGCGGACTTACTTTGCTGAGGGTACTCTGCCCATCTCCCCTTCTCCCTGCTGTTATCTAAGTCAGAGACAAAAAACAGGAGGAAGAGCTGAGATGTGTCAACAAAGGGACCATGATCAAGTTCACCCCCATGTTGCCTGTGAAGGTATTACACTATGGAGAGGTCGGAGAACAGTATATGTGACGT